CTCCAGTTCGCTCGCGGTGGTCCTTCTAGTTCTTGTTGTCTGTGCGCTCTCGAAATGCAAATAGGATCAGCTGCTTGTTTGCATCAGTCAAAAATATGCAAAACATAAATATCCTTCAGTAAGGAGCTAGATAATAAAGAACGATGACTGTGTGATGGCGCACACTGTTCAATCCTTAGAAATAACCAGGTCGATTCAGGTATGCCTGCCTGGAAAGACCCTCCAAGATATAGTGAGTGAAAAGAGACTACTGTTGTTGCAACTACTCCAACACCGTTTTATAAACAATACAGTTATGTAAGTATGCATGCGTGCACTCAGAGTGTTTTAGGGAGAGAGATTTGGAAGGACGCACGAAAAAATGGGGAGGAAGTGAAGAGCAAATATTTTTTAGTTTTGAATATTTTATAATTACCATATATTCATATATCACGTGAGTGACCTTTTTAACAAATAACTTTATTTTTAGAACAATTTTAGATTCATAGAAAAATTGAGAATACAGAGAGTTCTCATAAACCAGGAATTTCTCCCATTATTAACATTTTATCTATTAGCATGATGCTTTTGCTAAATGGATGAGCCAATATTGATGCATTATAATTACTTAAAAGCCACACTTATTCAGATGTCTTTAGCTTTTTCCTAATGTTCTTTTTCCAGAATTCCATCCAGAAAACATCTAGTTTTCATATTTCCTCAAATTCTTCTGGTTGTAACAGCTTCTCAGACTTTCCTTGTTTTTCAGATGATCTTGAGAGTTTTGAGCGGTGCTCCCATGCATTCTGGGGACTGCTCCTCAGTTAGGGTTACTATGATACTTTTGCATGTTATGTATACTATAATATGACTTATCACTGTTGATGATAACCTTGATCCTTGGCTGAGGTTGTCAGTTTTATTCACTATGAACCTACCTCTTCGTCGTTCCATACTGGGTATAACCAGTATGAATAACCAGTATGAATATTTTTCAAATATTTACTTATTTTAGTTTTAGGAGGACACAATATCTTTAGTTAATTTTTATGTGGTGCTGAGGATGGAACCCAGTACCTCATGCATGCTAGGAGAGCATTTTACCCTTGAGCCACAACGCCAGCCCATGAGTGTGACCTTTTTGATGTAGAAAGTTTTCTTCCTCTTAGAGGCATTAATGACATACACTGGGCTGAAGAGGGCATTGGGAAATGCTTTCCTTCTTGGACACCAGTGAGGGGCGGTGCTGGATCGGGTCAGGGAGCGCAGCTGCCGGGCTCCAGGACCTGTCCTGGCCTCGAGAGGGCCCAGGCTTCCTCCTCCAGCTAGCAGAGGCCATTTTCTCCGTCCGCTGCGCGTCCTGGGCCTCACCTGGGGGCGGGGCCACTGTGCGAGAGTCTCCTCCCCCGGGCGCGTGGGGACTGCCGCGCCCGCGGAGTTTTCCGCCTAGTGGGCTCCTCCTCCTGCTCCGCCCAGACGGCTCGGCGCCCGCAGATCCCCGAGAGTGCCGGAGAGCAAGAGTGGGACGGAGCTCCAGGGAGAGCCCAGGTGCTCGCAGAGAGAGCYGCTGTAGCCCGTGTCCCCCTGCCAGGTGAGAGTCCGGGGCTGGCCGGGTGTCTGGGGCGCGGGGGGTGGGGGGCGGCAGTGCGCTGCGTCCCCTGGTGGAGGCCCAGAACTGCCTCGCGTGCGTCCCGGGTCGGTCCCACTCTTCCTGGTTGCACCGCCTGGGGCAGGAGTGGGTCCGGGTCCYCTCGGCCGCGGTATGGGGAGGGTGTTGCCTTTCTAATGAGTTTGGGGTACACAGGCCACCCCCACCCCCGCCAACCAAGTGGGCGCACGTGATTATGCAGCGTAGTCGGTTCAGGAGCTGTGCCTCGGCTTGGTAGGGCTTAGGGTCGTGAACCCGCGACCAGAAGACAACTGGATGGTATGAGGGATGGCTGGTGGCCCGGCTCCTGCGATTCCAACTGAGTTCTCCAGAGTGTGGGTGCCCTTCCGGACAGGGCTCGTGCGGTGGAGAGCCAGTAGAGAAGGCTGCCTTCAGGAACTTTCCTCCGGAACTGGGAGGACGCAATTCCTGGGAGCTGCCACCGTTGCAGTTTATTTATAAGGCACTCTCCCAAGTAATTGAGAGAATGCGGGATCCAGCCTAGGTGCTGTCCCCACAACCCGCAGTCCTTATGCCAACTTCGGGAGGGATTCTTGGACTTGCCTGTCCCCTGGGGCTCAAGCCAGCCCTCTGAAGGCTTAAAATGGTAGAAGCAGTTCTGTTAGTTTAAAGGAGAGAGTGAAGTTCCTCATTTAGAGACTGAAGGGCAAAGCTACGGTAGCCAGAGCTAACTGAAGCTGAGAACGTTCTCCTCAGGACATTTGTGTCCCCGCCCTCCAAATCTGTGACCTCTCTGGGGAGATGAGCATCTGTGGGCAGACCCTGACTATCCTGGTAGCCTGCCCCTCTGCTCCTTCCAGTGGCCTTCATGTGAGGTCCCTGCAGCCCTGCCCACATAATAGACACTACAGGCTTTCAGGGCAGGACTTTCAGGGCAGGGTGGATTATCTTGCTCACCAGGCACTCATTGTGTTCCTCCATTCCTTCCTTGCTGCACTCAGTTGTTGGGGATTCCAGGATTAACAGGTCCCCTTCCCTCAGGGCACTGTCTGTGCTGCAAGGTGTTCCTTGACAAGAGAGGCCAGAAGAGGTATTGCCCTTGCCTTGTATTAGTTTAAAGGAGCAGGCATCTGATGACTAGCCCACCTTGGGCTCCTGCTCCCCTCCCAAATCTCTCTAGACTCTGTGCTTTGGTTTTCTCATCTGTAAAATGGGGATCATTCTAATTCCTTCCTGACAGGCTTATTGTGGGGATTCAGTGAATTAATATTTTTAACAACTGTGGAGTGCTCATGTCCTGACTGGTCAGAACAGGTGGAAACTGGTGCRCTGTACTTGTGTGTTCCAGGTAGGTGTCACTCAGGCATAAAGTGTGCAAAGTGGGGCCTAGCCCAAGTAATCAGATCTAGGTGCTGTTGAATAWTATAATAATAGCTATTACTGCCATTATGCAGTGGATGGTTCAGCTAAGTTGAACTGCCTTTCTGATGTGCCTCCCTGTCTTGGTTCATGCATCTCTGCTCTCTTGAATGCCCTCCTTCCCTGATTTTGCCCATTATTCACTAGTCATTAGATGCTTGCTCCCCAGCAGACAGGAAAGGACTGGCTTGCACTTTTCCTCCTCTACTCCTCTGACACTGAGTGAATCCACGCTGAGTTCTCTTCTCATTTGATCTGGTACATAGTATTTCTTTGGTCCTGAATATTGAACCCAGAGGCATTTAACACTGAGTCACATTCCTACCACCCCCCCCCCCCACTTTTTTAAAATTTTGAAACAGGGCTTCACTAAGTTGCTGAGACTGGCCTTGAACTTGCAACCTCCTGACTCAGCCTCCCGAGTTGCTGGGATTACAGGCATGTGCCATTGGCCCTGGTGGTAGATAATATTTGTATGACCATGTGTCTTACCCTTGCCCTGTTCTGTCTTTGGAGGGTGGGGACTGTGTTTCTGATTCATCTTTTGGTCTCTGGTAGCACCCAGGATAGGCCTTGCCTTATTAGATGCTCAGGAAATATTAGTTGAATGAGAAGCAGGAAGGAAGTAGTTTCTCTGTGGTTAAAGTACTGGATATACAGAATAGGTAGAGAAAAGCAGGGAGGGTGAGCTGGCAGGAAATCCAGACTGAAAGGTGGGAGAGAAGCTGAGAGGCCAACTTTGACCATTTGACCCCTTTATTTAGCCAGGACAAGGTTAACAGAAAGGGTCCATCCTGGTTACTCTATCCAAAAGGACATGATTGAGCAGTGATGCTTTGGTCATATGACTCAGGAAAATAATCTGGAGGTTGGGATGATAGTAGGAACTTTGTGCAGAACAGAGAAGAGGAACCAGTGCTGGCAGGAATCCACGCTGAGTTCTGAGTCTTCAGGGACCCAGGAGCTTGGCTTCCTCTCTTCCTTGCTGCCTTCTTCCCTCTGAAACCTGGTGCAGTTCCTGGCAGTTGGTCGCACAGGGAGTCCTGGGGGAGTTTGGTGTGAGTGTGCTTTGCAGTCAGGGGAGCCGACTCTGGTCTCTCTGGGCCTTTCTTTACAACACCCCCTGATTCCATTGTTCCTAGAGCATCAGGAATTTGAACCATATCTAGATAGGAAAGTTCTTAGGGTAAATGAAGCAATAGGTGGGAGTTCGTGTTTGTAAAAGGAGTTGTTGAATTCCTTATGGAACTGTCTCATAATCACTGACACCATTCCACAGTAGACTTACTGGCCCTAATCCCTGTAATACATGTTGTTTATTATAGGGATGATCCTACAGCCTGGGTAGTGACCAGAGCCCCAGCTGGCCCTGCCCCTGCTGATGTGAGAAAGTAATGGAACYAAGGAATTAGGGGACAGAGTTCTCTTCTGGGCTGGGTAACCTGGGACAAACCATTTAGCCACATGACCCCAGTGTTCTGGATGACAAACTGCTGCCTCAAGTGGAGAATCAGATAACAAGAGGTTTGCAGAAGGGGTTTGAGATCAGTCAGGGAGTGGCAGTGATCTTGTTGATATAGTGGGTGTGTTATAGCCAGAATTCCGAAGCTAGGGCATCAGTGTGTGCTGATGAAGCCTGACACTTATCACTTGGTGCTAGTTTTCTGGGGGCTTATGCTCCTGAGGATTCCACTGCTAAGCAGAAAAGAAACAGGTGATTAAGGAGGAAATCAGAGTCCCCTCCCCCTCACCCCTGGGGCAGGGGGCAGCTGGCTTGGAGGACAGTGGGGAGAGAGCAGTCTGGGTGAGGCCAGAGAAGCTGGAGGCTGCTCACAGGGAGGCCAGGGGCGTGGTACTCTGGGGTGGGGAGAGCTTGGGGCCAGCTGGTGATAGCACATGTGAGCTTGTTGTGTCCACCACAAAGGTCATGGCTATTTTTACAGAGTAGGTGATAGGCACGTTTCTGTTGAACTCGTCATTGGTGAATCCCCACTTGCCTGGGCTTGTGCTGTGTCCACAGAAGGAGAGGCCCCTGCCTCCCACCTGTGTGCTCATCCTTGTAGATGTCCCCAAAGCTGGGTGCTGGGTGAGAACCCATCTTGCAGCAGGGGAGGTTTGAATCAGTTTGGGCTGTGCTGTGTTCAGGGTGCCTCTGAGACATCAAGTAGGCTGGTGGTCTGGGGCTCAGGAGGTGTCTGGGCCAGACAGATGTTTTTGTCTAGGTTATATTTATATTTGAAGTCAAGGACACAGTGATATTGAACTCTAAGAGCCAACTAAAGGAAGATGAGCCTGTATTGGAGATGGCAAGAGAGCAGCCTGAGAGGGGACCTGAGAGCCAGGTAGACCTGTAACACAGGATCCAGGTGAGCCTGCTTCAGTAGGAGCAAGTGRACAGTGGTGGCATTGCTGCCATTGTCAGTGGCGGTAGTCTTAGCAGCTGCTGTTTTGGTGGGACTATGGGAATAGAGGCCAGATTGGAACAAATGGGGGAGGGAAAGGGGAGGTGAGCATCCTGGGGTGTGGGTGTAGGTAGACTGTGAAAGGTGGGCTAGCACAGAGAGTTGATTCTGCCTCCTCAACTCACCGAGGAGTTGGCATGTGGCTGTCAGCAGCCTGGATCGCTCCCCTCTCTCTTCCTGCCCCTGCATCATGGGCACCCACAAAGTTTTGCTCCGTTCACAAATTGAATTTGTGCTGTGCAACTTATTCTCTATCTTATATGTGTGTGACTTGTTTATTGCTGACATTAGCTCTTGGTTCCTGGGATGCCAGGTCAGCAGCTGTGGAATGTTCTATAGTACAGAATTACCATAATTTATTCAACCTTGCCCTCACTGAGGGTACTGAGATCATTTACTTTTTTTTTTTTTTTTTTTAGAGAGAGAGAGAGAGAATTTTTCAATATTTATTTTTTAGTTCTCGGCAGACACAACATCTTTATTTTTATTTTTATGTGGTGCTGAGGGTCAAACCCAGCGCCCTGCGTATGCCAGGTGAGCGCGCTACCACTTGAGCCACATCCCCAGCCCCTCACATACTGTTTTTATTGACTTGAATCAGTATTGGAGTAAACAACCCAGAAGGATCCTCCCTGCTTGGAATGTTCCCAGTGTGTTTACTTAGGAAGAGTTGATGTTTTTAACGCTATTTCCCAAATTGAGGCCAGACTGCAAGCCTTGTGGTGTGTTCTTATTATATGTTATGAATGGGATTCTAACAGGATGTGCTGGAATTTAAATGTATCATTACATTAATTTTTTACTCTTTCTGCTTTTCTCCCTCCTATTCATTGACTATTAACTTCGGCCTTTGTCCATTTCTTCTTACTTGTATTGTTTTGTTGTTCTACTTTCACTATAAATGATTTCATTTATTTTTGGTCTTTTAATCTAAAAAGCATATAATGTTCAACATCTTCCTTGAGTATAGTTGTAGCTGGTGGGCTTTAGAAGAAAGTGCTCATTTTTCCAATATTTTCTGGTCCCTTTCTAAATCACTTTTGGTCTGAGAATTATTTAGCAGGTAGGATCCTGAATTTCCAAGTGGATCGTGTTATGGAGAGTATCATGCTGTCTTATTGTTGAGTGCTAGTTTTCTTGGGTTAGTGAATGTTATCTGCAAAAATTCTCTTCTTATGGGACTTTATTAAATTTTCTTTGTGGCGAACTATACCATCCATATTAAAGTGGGTGGTGAACTTGAAAGAAGAAGATCTGTATTCTCTGAGGGACACAGACTTTAGAAATGTCTTTTAACTTGAGCTTGCTCTTTATGGCTGTGCTTGTCCATCTGTCAAATTCTGAGCAATGTATAAGAAATTCTCACTATAATTTTTTTCTAAGCCAAGTTATATTTGTGTTGGTGGGAATCCCAGCTCTGTGAACTTGGCTTTCGTGTTTGGTGCTTACAGGTTTATCATGTTTACCTTGTGGATCATACCTTGTTTCATTTTTTTGCTTATTTAATGATTTGGTCTTTTGACCTTAAATTTCATCATCTGGGGAGAATGTTCAGGCAAGGATCTGGGAGAATCCCTTTTCTTTACAGTCCTAAAATTAATAAGTAAGTACACTTTATAAGAATTAAGGGCCAGAAATTGAGAGGCAGGTATCAGTGGGAAGGCATTCAAACCCTGTCTGCTCTTCATGTGGAGTAGTTGGTGATAAGGTCTTGCTTATAGTCATGGGCTCCCCTTCATGGCTGTCCCAGTGATCTGCCAGGCTTTTCGGAGGAATTAAGATGAGAATTGCCTGCAACCTCTATTGATGTGGCCTAGTCTATTCTGTTACTATAACAAAATACCTGAGGCTAGAATTTTATAAAGAAGTTTATTTAGCTCACAATTTTATAGTTCCAAGAGCAGGGCATGGCATCTGCTTGGCTTCTGCTGAGGGCCTCAGGCTGTGTCACAATATGGCAGAGAAAAAGCAAGCATGGCAAAGAGGAGGCATGCATGAGGGAGAGAGTGGATAAAAGAGGCTGATCTGTTTTATAACAACCAATTCTCGCAGTAACTCATCCAGTCACCTGATCTAGTCACTTCCCTCTAGTCCCCACTTCTTAAAAGGTCCCATCACCTCTCAATACTGTTAACTTTAGCACCACATGTGAACCTGTTAGGGACGAACCATCTTCAAACCATGGCAGAACCTCTTCTCTCCCTTTGCTGTTCAGGCCCCTTCCTTAGGTTCAAGGATTTGGGCAGCTYTCACTTGCACTTGATATTTCTGTCCTCCTTTGAGCCACCAAGATGGGTTGTCTTTGTTCTTTTACTTGAGCCAGGGGAGTACTGGAGATGGCACACAGGGGCACTTGGCCACTGAGCCAAATCTCAGCCCTATTTTGTATTTTTATTTAGAGACAGGGTCTCACTGARTTGCTTAGCGCCTTGCTTTTGGTGATCCTCCTGCCTCAGCCTCCTGAGCCTCTGGGATTACAGGTGTACACCCCTGTGCCCAGCTGTTTTGAAGCAGTGAATATGCAAGAATTTATGAGGGACAGACGTCCCATATAGACATTCAGGCCTTAGTGTGCTTCAGGTTTCATAAACAGTCTCAACCGACTGGAGTCGTCTCAGCCTTGTTGGACCTTCAGAGCTTAGTGGTTTTCCAAGTCCTCTGTTTCCAAATAAAGGCAAATGACTGAAAAGAAGTCCTTGGCCTGCTGAGTCAGGGTTATCAAAAAGTCCTCAACTTATTTATTTTTTAGTTTTTTGGTATCAAGGATTGAACCCAGGATTCTCAACCACTAAGCCACATCCCAGCTTTTTTTGGTGTTTTATTTAGAGGCAGGGTCTCGCTGAGTTGCTTAGCAACTCCCAGAGTTTCGGAGGCTGGCTTTGAATTTGCGATCTTCCTGCCTCAGCCTCCTGAGCTGCTGGGATTACAGGTGAGCATCACTGCACCTGRCCTCAACTTACTTTTAATATTAATACTTCCACCTCAGTTTTTTCTTTCCAATCTTCCTTTGCTCAGCCTTCGATTTTGAGTCCTTCTCACTTAAAAATTTCTCTTATAATCAGCACGAGGCAGGAGAGAGGATGGYGGATGGCAGCAGCAAACCTGACTTGGTGCTTTCCATCTTTGACKGAGGACTTGGACTGCTCACGTGGGGGTTATGCTTGACTTTATTCCTTGTGTCTTCGTTACTTAGTACCCTGGGAGGCTGTTCTCTCCTCTGATCTTTGCTTGGTGGCTGAGTTTCTTTTCGTCCCTCCTCCCCAGCCCAGCTGGATTAGGATTTGGGTTTGGCTGTGATGTGAGGGAGCCCCTCCCCCGCCTTTAGAAACCAGGCTCCAAGAGTCTGTTCCCTGAGGTTTCCAGGCACCAGGCCCCTTGTGTCATGTTGCTCCTGGCATCCTCCARTCTGTGCTTCTCAGACTTGAGCAACAACACGTTTCCTTTTAGTGAGAAACTTAGCCGTTTCCTTTTAGTGAGACCCAGGCTCAAAATAAAAAGTGCTGAGTGTAGCTCAGAGGTGGCTTGCTTGACGAGCATCGCATGCTCAAAGCCTTGGTTCCATCCCCAGTTCTACAAAACAAACAAACAAAAATAACCCAAGAAACAAACAAAAACCCCGGTTTCCCAAGTCCCTGTCCTAAGGGTTCTGATCTGGGAATCTCTGATGGGGCCTGAGAATTAGCTTCTAGTAGGCCTGGGATGTGCCGATGCTGCCAGTATGGGGGTCACGCTTAGGAMAGCACTGTCTAGGTGCCCCCCTTGTGGCCCAAGACAGCCACAGATAGGGCCCTGCCGAGCTGGTAGGGAGGCTGGGGACGTGGTCCTTACTCGGGGCTTCTGTGTGCCAGGCTACAGCAAGTATTCTGTTACTAAAGCAAGCAGGGGCAGATGGTTGAGGGGAGGCAGCCAGAAGTTTCCAGAACACCACCCACTGCTCTCCTTCATTTGAAGCTGTTCCTGTGTTTATCAGCCTTGCCATTGGCCGAGCCTGTATTCCTCAGGTTAGGAAGTGGGACCCATGTTTGGTGGCAGTGGCAAGCTGGCAGGCAGTGTGTGCAGGGCAGCTCTGTCCCTAAGGATTCCTCTGTACTCCAAATGCCAGAGCATAGGGCATTGAGTTTTTATTTCTAAAAAGTGTCTTTCAGAACCTGCTGGCTCAGGTTGGGGCTGTTGGTCACCGTGGAGACTACCCGAGGCCATTCCTGGCCTGCTTTGCCTTGARTTTCTCTAGGCTGGGCTGCCCCAGGTGCCAGCCTTGGGAGGGCAGAGTCTGAAGCACAGCCTGGCTAATGATTGACAGAGACACTACTGTTTTTAATTCCTGATGTGTAGGTGGGAGCTGAATGCTCCACAGCACCTTCTGTAGGCTTTTTTTGTAGTGCCTGGGAAAATAGGGTCCTTGTTGGTGAGATGCTGTCCTGGGGCTCTCTGGCTGGCTTTGGTGACTTAATATTACCTGTGACCCACCAGGGCAAGGCCTGGGGCTCTGTAGCCCCTGCCCTACAGTCAGGGCCACTCATACGCCCTCTCACCTCACATCCTGCTTGGGGGTAGGAGGGAGGGGGAAATGTCCTAATGTGTCTTCCCTGCCCCCAGAATTCCTGAAGCCTACACACCAGACACAGGCAGCCAGAACAGGTGCCACCTGGGCGTGGAAGAGATGAGTCAGGGTACACGGGTCAGGGTACAGGTGTTCCTGGTGGGATTCTGARTATAGAGGACCTCGTGGTGCCAGCCCCGTGCCTGGTGGTGGGGAACAGAGAGGAGAGGCCTGTCCTGCGGCCTGCAGCACTGCCGGTCTCACTGGAAGGCTTAGAAAAAGGAGTCCTGGTTCTGACCTCACTGGGGTGTGACCTTTGAGTGCTAGCTAGGTCCCTTGCTGAGCCCTAGGTCTCTTGCTTATA